CTTTTCTGATGAAGGGTCTAGGCCCGAAACGTCAGCCTTTCTGCTCCTATGCTGCTGCTTGGCCTGCTGTGTTCATCCAGCCCTGCACCTTGTTGTCTCGGATTCTCCAGCATCTGCAGTTCCTACTATCTCTGATTCAATGTTACTTAAGAGGGTTGTTTTGCGACATAAATACAGTGGCTGCAAGAACAAGCTGGAAATTCTCCAATTTGTAATTCCTTCCTGACTCCCCAAAGCCTGACCACCATCTACAAGGCACAAGTCAGGAATGTGATGGAATGCACTCCACCTTCCTGGATGGGTGCAGCTCCAACAACACTCAAGAAGCTTGACACCATCCAGGACAAAGCAGCACTACATCCACAAACGTCCACTGCCTCCACCACTGATGCTCAGCAGGAGTGTGTACTCTCTATAAGATGGCACGCACACAGAAATTTACCAAAGATTCTTACGCAGCACCTTCTAAACCTACAAACACTTGCATCTCGAAAGACAAGGGCAGCAGATATTTGGGAACACCATCTGCAAGCTCCCTCCAAGCCACTCACCTTGGAATGTGGAAATATATTGCTATTCCTTCACTGTCACTGGGTTAAAATCCTGGAATTCCCTTCATAACAAAAATGTGAGGCCATGACAATGGATGGCAGGTCTGAAAGGACCCGGGCCAATTGTGACAGGTGGGCCTATGGTGAGTATTGGGCATGTCCTACTATTAAAACACAGTTTCCAATTTTGTGAATGATATCAAATTTGAACTGAAGTTAATACAACAAGTTGCAGTGCATGCAAAAAATGGGCAAATGAAATTCAACGCAGATAAATGTGAAGAGTTACATTTTGTAGAAAGGGTTGGGAGATCACTGGAAAGAACGTGTGAAGGTGTAGCAGAGGCAGAAATGGATCCCAGAGTACAAATACACCAGACATGAGTAGGAACAATCAGTGCTTGAAAAGCAAAAGCCTTATTTGTAGAGGGAGAGAATGGAATAGGAATGAAGCTGTGCTAAACCTGTTTTGACTCTTAATTAGATCACTTTTAGGGTACACAAGACAATTCTCTGCGTCTTATTATAGAAAGGTTATAGACTTGCTGGAGGTGGTACAGAAGACATTTACAAGTGGATACCAGAAATGTATGGTGTATTTACATGGAGGTCACCCAACAACTGACTGGGTCTTCTCTTGTGAAAGCTTGTAATGTGAGATTGGGAATGGCCTGTGATATTCTGTGACTCTGGGGACAGGCGGCTGGTGTGGGCAGGGAGTGGGGAGGTGGGGTGCTGTCATGTGTAGAAGGGGACAGTGTCACGCAAGGGGGCGCGCTATCAGAACTCACGTTATCCTACAGCGGATCCAGAGTTTAGACTGTTCCTATGGGTGATGCTGTACCAACACCCCTCCCGGTGTCTGTTCTCGTGGGAGATGATGCTCTCCCCGGGCGGAGGAGGGGTATCTGTTCTTTTGGGTGATACTGCTCTTCCCAGAGGGCGGAACAGAAGGAGGGGTCAGTAAATGCCCCTGTTGTTCCGAGGTCCCGCTATTCGTGGTGCTATGACAATTGCTTCTGCTGCATTTCAGCACTGATTTTATTGAGAGCTGCTTTGCATGGAGCTGAGAGATAGTAAGAACTGGTGATGCTGGAGTCAGAGGCCCGAAACGTCAGCTTTCCTGTTCCTCTGATGCTGCCTGACCTGCTGTGTTCCTCCAGCTCCAAACCGTTATTGCATGGAGCTGATGTTCCTTTTTATTTGATTTATGGTGCACTGGTTAAAACTGCTGTGAATACAGTTCCTTAAGAGCAGAATGCTCAGGAATAGCTCTTGTTGCCTTGAGTGCAAATGAATCTTGTCAATTTGTTTTCCAATCACCGATCCGCTCCGTGTTGTCATCGGCTTCACTTTCCAGCTGGTGCCAACAGCCCTCATGTTCAAGATTTTGTCAAGTGCAATGGTAGCTGCTGGGATAATGGGCATTTGCTGCCAACTCCTGTTCAGTGAATTTCAAAGCATATGTTCACCTTTCTGATTGCTTCCTTCCTGTTTTGAGTCTTCATCATTCATTAGGTTAACCTTCATGGGATTTCCTACATGGAAGGGGTGAATCTTTGGAATTTTTTGCCCCGGGGTGTTGAGATGGCTCAGTTGGGGGGGGTGTGTGTGTGTGTTCAATAGATCAGAGATCAACAGATTTCTAGACTTCAAAAATCAACAATTGATAGTTCCCAAGGATGCGGTTTCTCTGGATTCTGCTGCTCTATGTTGCCGTGGAGTGGGGTTACTTTCACAGAATCGTGCAGTACAGAAAAAGCCCTTTGGCCCATCTAGTTTGCACTGACAAAAGATTAAATCTAGCCCCACTTTTGAGCATCAGGCCCATAGCCTAGCATGTTATGACATTTGACATTTTAAGTGCTCATCCAAGGACTTTGTAAAGTTTGTGAGGTGTCCTCCCAAGGCAGTGCAATCCAGATTGCTGTTTCCTCAATCCCCTCCTGTCTATCAATTTAACATTAGGCCACCTTGTTATTGACCCTTCATGTAAGGGGAACACCTGCTTGCCATCCAACCTGACCATGCCCCTCATAATCTTATACACATCTATCAGGTCCCCTCTCGGCCTTCTCTGTAATAAAGAAAACAACTCTAGGTTATCCGGCTTCTCTTCATAGCTGAAATGCTCCATCCCAGGCAACATCCTGGTGAATCTCCTACAGTGCATTCACATCCCTCCCATAACATGGTGGTCAGAACTGCACACAGTACTCCAGTTGTAGCCTAACCAAAGTTCTGTACAGCTCCAACAAAACCTCTCTGGTTTTGTATTCTGTGCCTCAAGTATTTTGTATACCACCTTTAACTCCCTACTAATCTGTCCTCCTTCCAGGGATCTACAGACAAGCATCCCACGATCCCCGTCTGTTGTTCTGAGCTTCCTAGTGTCCTGCCATTCATTGAGTTCTCCCTTGTCTAGTTACTTCTTCCAAAATGCATGACTTCACATTAATCAGGATTAAATTCCACCTGTCACTGATCTGCCATCTAACCAACCCATCTATATCCTCCTGTATCCTAAAGCATTGGTCTTCACTGTTAACCACCTGGTCAATCTTGATGTCATCTGCAAACTAATGTAGCATCACCACCAAACCCCCCCGCCACCCCCACAACATTCTCTTCTATAAGCTTCTCAATTTGCAGAGAATAGGAAACGGACTCCTTAATACGTTTGGAACTTAATGTGAGACAGTCACTGGCCACAAAGGTTTCAGCCAAGCTCTTGGTATTCAGATAACTCAGTGAAGCCTGTCTGTCCTCCTGCACCTCCCCACCACCCACCCCCCACCTTCCTCCTGCACCTCCCCGCCCTCTCTTCCCCACCCCCGCCCCCCACCCCCCACCCCCTAGGTCATGTATAATCATGGATGAGAAGTACCTGAAATAAATTTTGGAGAATAAAGTGAAATTGAATTCACAATTTGGTTAGTTTGAAGAAACTATTTGAAATGAAGGGAGCAACACAGCAGTTAAGATTGGACATATCAGACTGACTTCAATAGGATGCATCAGAGACTGCAGTACATGGAGACGGTCTGATAATAGATAAAAGACAGATGATCAGGAGGTATTTAAAAATAATGTAGTGCAGTGCAGAACTAGTTTACATCCCAAAGCGCTAGAGCTCCACTTTTTTCAAAACAAGCCA